ATATATATATACATACGAGTTCAGCCATTCAAGTCCAAGTTTGATCAGAATGAGTATGAATTGTTTGAACCATGGATTTTCGGGACAAGTTCTGTATGCATTTCATAAACTACTCAATTCATCCCATAGGGAGAATGATTTTCGCATTTCGGGGCTCACCTTGGTTAGTCAGCTGGTTATAGCCACAGGAACAAGTAGATTAAACTACTTATCCCACTTATAAGCAGGGAGATAAAACCTACTTATTAATATAACGGGATGATCCACTATCCCACTTATCCCACTGTTTAATCTATAGTTGGAGATAAAACCTACTTAATCCCTTTCCCCAACTTTTTTTGTTCAACCCCGCGAAACCCTGGGGGTCCATGGGGGATGTACGGGATGATTTTAAACTGTTTGGAATGGGGCTGTTAGTTAGGAATTGTGTTAGATGAACGGGGAAAAAAAATAAAAAAAAAATATATACCATCATTCTCCAACTATATATATCCCATGATATTTCCAACATTTTTAGGTATAGTTGGTTATTTATCCCACTAGGAATCCCAAATAAAATCATCCCATCGCCTGAAAAAACCACAACATAAAGAAAAACACTATATCAACTATATCATATCAAAAACATTCAAAAACGCAATATAAACACTACATGGGTTATCCACTATATCACGAAATATCCCATATAAACCCTATATAAACTGTATAGTTGGTTATTTATCCCCCTATATAAACACTACATCCACAACTCGTGGTTCCTCGTGGGATGAGCCGCCGGTCCTTTGGAGGCCTTGGAGCCCACGGGCCTCCAAGCGATCGGCGCTGCTCGCCGCCCGGGCACCGAGTTTGGATAACTTGGACCCACAAGTTTTGGATGACTTAACTGACTTAACTGACTTAACATGTATTATATATACTTAGATATACTTCGAGGGTCCCAATCTGACTGAATGTCCATGTTAGTTGTGAACAGTGCGTAAGAGGTGACAGTCCGGATGATCCCAGGATCAGCGTAATTCCGGGATGCACCCTGCAAGGTCGGCTAAGGGATGCTACGGGTCAAACATGGGATCTTGGACTCATCCCACCCCCCTCACAACGAAATCTTGGTTGTTTCAACCATTATGTTTCCTTTCTAATAGAAGTGGGACAATGGCCCCCAAAGACTTTCATATTTGAAGAGGGTTCACCCATCTCTCTCTCTCTCTCTACACACACACACATATATATACATACGTATATATATATATATACATATATATATATATATATACGTACTATATATATGTATATGTAGCCTCGTCCAGGCTTCTGGAACTGCGTAAACCTGAATTAGGTTGGTAAAACTTGTCCATTCCGTGACGAAATTTCGTCGCGGAATTAACAAGTTTCATTTGGGTCATGTTCATCATCATCATCCTCATCATCATCATCAGCAGCCGAGATTTAAGACCACCAACAATCTCCGCACTGAGTCTCGCACCTGCAGCGAGCAAGAGACACCCAATCAAGTAAAATATTAATTATATATGTATATACATCAATTGAAAAACTGTTGAATACGTATAAATATACCAAAAATGTCGGTAAATATATTCAGTATATATATATGTATATATATATATTGTCCAGGCCCTGGTGTGCGTAGCATCAACTGCTGCCGCAAGTTCACATGAACGTTAACATCCCACCCCACCCCCCCCCACCTCGCGTGTGCGTAGCATCAACTGCTGCCGCAAGTTCACATGAACGTTAACATCCCACCCCACCCCCCCCACCCCGCGTGTGCGTAGCATCAACTGCTGCCGCAAGCTCACTGAACGTCAACATCCCACCCCACCCCCCCCCACCCCGCGTGTGCGTAGCATCAACTGCTGCCGCAAGTTCACATGAACGTTAACATCCCACCCCACCCCAACCCCCAATCGTATTCCGGTTTACGCAGTTCCAGAAGCCTGGACAAGCCTATATGTACTATATATATATGTACTATATATATATGCACTATATATATATATATGTACTATATATATATATATGTACTATATATATATGTACTATATATAAATGTACTATATATATATGTACTATATATATATGTACTATATAGATGTACTATAGATATATATATATATATATACACATACACATATGTATATATATATATGTATATATATATGTACATATATATATATGTATATATATATATATTATGTTAAACACATGTCTTTCATTTGTATCCCAGCTAAGGTCGCAGCGTTTGGTGCTGCCGCATGGTTGGGGTGTCTCAGGGTCAGTGGGGAGAAACTCCCAACTGATCAGTGACCACGGAACCCAAAAAAGCCAACAGAAACCATGGGTTTTGGAGGTTTATGGATTATTTTCTTCTGGAAGATGCATTTTTTGGGGGCTTCAATGAGGTTTCGCCTCAAGGCCAAGGTGGGAGACGAGTTTTTTGCTCACCAGGGTTCTTCTGGTCGGTGGGTGGTCATTTTTCTCACATGATTTCTGTCCCCCAAAAACGTGAATATCAGGACCCCCAACGGACGAAGTTTCAATGGTGGAACCGTAAGAAATTCCGCTGCCGAGGTGCAGCACCGTCAGCTTTGTTGGTAGCAAAGGCGGGGGAACTCCTTGGTGTCTGGCATGGTTGGGTGTGGAACATGGGGTATAAAACCAAAAATCTTATGGGGATATGATGTAAGACTGGGAATTGATCATGGGAGCATCTGGGAGATGTTCATATTTCATATATTTCATACGACGATGAGATCGTTTAAAATATTTGGCTCTGTCCGATGGGGAATTTCACCAGAATTATGGCAAGTGAATGGGGAAGCTGATGATTCACCATCGGATGACTTGGGAATGAAACCAGCAACATGGGATACCAATTTTTGGGCCATCAAAATTATGGGATACATGGAGCAAGGGCCGAAAGAAAGGAGTTGGATAGATTTCAGATGAACAGCGGTCAACCCAATGATTTTTTTTTGGTTGAGGCAGCTAACCTATCGAAATCAAGTCGATGCATAATGATTTATCATTACCGATGATAAACATCTGTTGTTTTTTCCAACATAGCTACTGAAAATTGCAATTTTTCATGGATGAATCAGGTAATGTCAACCCTGGATTAATAAACCCTTAGGCTGATTAATTGGGGGGTACCATTTAAGTATTGGATTATGACTATTGGAGGAGTAACCCCTATTACAGGTGTCAGATGGCAATTTCCGACAGCTATGTTATATCAAATCTCCAGAGGGTATCTAAAACAGGCTCAGGCACGACCAGCAGCCCGCGAGTACTGCGCCAGGCGGGCGGTTAATATTGAGGGATGGTCATCAATCCATTTTGGTTGGGATTTATTTAGCCATTGTTTCAGGAATCCCATTCATGATACTGGGATGATGGTAATAAGCCCAAAAAAAGCAGATCTGATTCTAAGTGATCCTTTGGGTGGAATAAAGCAGCGTCCTTCGACGACTTTTTGGTGTAGTCAACAAACATGGGATGGAGGAATCCCCCTCTTTATCCTCTTTTGTATGTATAATATGTATAGGACAGACCTATAACATGGCCACTACAGTCGTCCTCATCATGCGGTTCCCATGGACATTTTCAGCTGAGGCAGGATATACCTTCGGTATCAACAAAGTGGATGAGCACAACGGGCTCCTGACAGCTGAGAAGGCACCCAAGTGAAGTTGAAAAAAGATGTGAGTGAGGTGTTCTCCCGATTTGATTGGTGAAGATTTTCGGGGTCATCATGTATTAAATAACATTATAATTTCATTATATACGCAATTATATATTAATATATATATATATACTGTAGCAGTTTTCTTGTTGGTTAACTCCACCCTGACTAATTCATTAGATATGTGTATATATATATATTATATTCTATATGCAATTGTATATAGTTACACAACCGTATCAAACATCAACTCGGTTAGAACTGGGACCACCGGGGCCACCTTTTTTGCCAGGACAAGGCCTATCGCATCTCCACGGACGGCAGCTACCACAAGGGTCACTGGAACACGGTGCGCGCGCTCGGTCAAAAAGCATCATCTTCGATGATACTATGGCAATCTATGGCATATATGATGGCATATATGTGTTGATAAGTGTTGTATATGGTGATATATGCTATAGTAACTATAGTATGCATTGTTTTTTTGGTAACACCCGGTTGAAATCGGGATTTTGATCGGGTAGAGCACCGGTTGAAATTCCCTGGCTGAGTCTCAGGTCCTGGGTGATCAGGAAATCCCCCAATCGGGACGATCCTATTGGGAGGCCTGCCGATGGGAATTTTCTGTTCCAGAGAAAAGGAGTTAAGAACCATCAATATTCATCAATATTCATCAATATTCATCAATACTCATCAATACTGTACTCATCAATATTCATAAATATTCATCAATATTCATCAATGTTTATCAATATTCATCAATATTCATCAATATTCATCAATATTCATCAATATTCATCAATATTCATGAATGTTCATCAATATTCATCAATATTCATGAATATTCATCAATATTCACCAATATTCATCAATATTCATCAATATTCATGAATATTCTTCAATATTCATCAATATTCATAAATATTCATCAATATTCATCAATACTCATCAATACTGTACTCATCAATATTCATAAATATTCATCAATATTCATCAATATTCATCAATATTCATGAATATTCATCAATATTCATCAATACTCATCAATACTGTACTCATCAATATTCATCAATATTCATCAATATTCATCAATATTCATCAATATTCGTCAATATTCATCAATATTCTTCAACATTCATCAATATTCATCAATGTTTATCAATATTCATCAATAATCATCAATATTATTCATCAATATTCATCAATATTATTCATCAATGTTTATCAATATTCATCAATATTATTCATGAATATTCATCAATATTATTCATCAATGTTTATCAATATTCATCAATATTCATCAATATTCATCAATATTCATCAATATTCATCAATATTCACAATATTCATCAATATTCACCAATATTCATCAATATTCATCAATATTCATCAATATTCATCAATATTCATGAATATTCTTCAATATTCATCAATATTCATAAATATTCATCAATATTCATCAATATTCATCAATATTCATCAATATTCATCAATATTCATGAATATTCATCAATATTCATCAATATTCATCAATATTCATCAATACTCATCAATACTGTACTCATCAATATTCATAAATGTTCATAAATATTCATCAATATTCATCAATATTCATCAATACTCATCAATACTGTACTCATCAATATTCATAAATATTCATCAATATTCATCAATATTCATCAATATTCATCAATATTCATCAATATTCATCAATATTCATCAATGTTTATCAATATTCATCAATATTCATCAATATTATTCATCAATGTTCATCAATATTATTCATCAATGTTTATCAATATTCATCAATATTATTAATCAATATTCATCAATATTATTCATCAATATTCATCAATATTCATCAATATTCATCAATATTCATCAATATTCATAAATATTCATCAATATTCATCAATATTCATCAATATTCATCAATATTCATCAATATTAAACATATTCATCATCTGAAGTCTGACTTGACTTCAACGTTTTAAGATGATGAATATTGATGAATGTTTGTAATGCTCTTTTGGCAAAACATGTCCAAAGTCGTCGATCTCAGGCGTTCGTTGTTGCAACGGAAAGGCAAACCACATCTTCAGTAGTCATTGCTCGGTGGGATAGATGGCTCAACGGCTCAAATTTATTGACCCAAATCTTGTTTTTTTTTTTACATATTGTAAAAAGTGTCCAGCCTGAACCTTTTTTGTGGGATCCATTGGTCCCTTATGTTCATGATTATTGATACCTGAGGTTGACTAAAATGATGGAGTTTAAAAAATTGACTGGAAATTCTATGATAGGACACATTCTGAGAGATTCGAGCAGCAAACCTCCGCCAGGTGAAATTTGTGAAGAAACCAACCGATGCCTTTGAGTTCATAGGCGCTGCCTGGACCACTTTGACGTCAAGGGATGGGCCGGTAGCGATGGCCATTCCCTGCAGTGTTTCTCCCAGGTGTGGCCGAGCCCTCTGCAGATGTGCCGGTGGCCCAGTCGCCAAGAGTTTCGCCCCCACAGTGAGTGAAGAATCGAAAAGCAGAAAACCACAGAGGATAGGGGCTGGTCTAGTTGTCCTAGTACCCTCCGGTAATCAAACATGTTATGTTCAAACGTGACAATGGAATATCCACGCAATTAAAGGAGGTTTCAATGGGAAAATCATCTATAAGTGGGGGATTTTCCATTGCCACATTTGATGACCGGAGGATACGCCCTCATTTTGGGGTTGCAGCTTTCATCGACGTTCCCAGGATCACAGGCTTAGATCAAGGGAAACAAGTGCCGACCCCCAACCGAGGACCATGCCGTTGCATAAGAATCGCAAGGGCAAGGGATGGTTCTGGGGCGGCGATGCCAATGAGGCTTTTGCCAGGATCTCAGGTAGCCATGGAGTAGCCCAGAAAAAGGCGCAAACTGTATAAATTGTTGGTGAAATCCTCCCAAATTTTGGAGATTTTTTGGAGATTACCTCATTCTTGCAGCTTACAGTTACCAATGTTACCCCGCAGTTTTCTTTGGGTGATGAAGTCCCTCTTTGCCTCCAGGTCTACACCTTCATGGAGCTCAAACCCGGCATGAACGACCGCAAGATGGCAGGGCGCCCCTGTTGGACCTGTTTTTGAGGTTATGGACTCTGAACCACTCATTTCACCGACGTGGTCGGAAAATTTGGGGCAACCCCCTTTTCTCGGGGGGTAAACAGGTAAACACCTTGCTTTCAATCCTGACTTTTCCCTTTGGCCGGTATGGGTGAATCATCGTGACCTTTCCAGCAGGTCACCATAGATCATGCTTATAGTCAGCGGCACTGTCCCAAAATCATTTGCTGAGGCCGAACACCAGCGGATTGCAGATGTAGCGGCAGGGGCACCCAGCGCTCACAACAGGGTTGGGCAGTGAATGCACTTTGGGATTTTGAGGCAACAAAGATTGAGTAGCTGGGCGTTTCTGAACCATTGGAATCAAGGCATTGGAGACAGGTTGCAGAGTTCGTGGGTCTAGTACCACGAATTGCTGGGTCCAGTTTCACTGGCTGCATAGCTGGTTTTTGGCTCACTTGCTACCAAACACAACCAGGCCTACAGACCCAGACCCTTGGTGATTCTTATTTTTTGGATTATTTAGAAACATATTTTTAGTCTATAGATGTCTATAGGTTCTGGGTTTTTCTTTGGATTTGTTGGATCTCGTTGGTAAAATCCATTGGTTGGTGAACATCTCAAGTCGCATGTGACGAAACATCTCTCAAGTCGGGCAGAGATGCCGATGCCGTGGGATGGGATGGCGATGGTGCAGTGCGTGCCCATTGGAAGATGTTAACCCCAGGCCGAGAACAGTGGGGCAGATCAGACCTCACTTGAGCTGGTGAGTCAAAAGCGAGTTTTTTCGTGAACTTGGGCCGAAAATGGACCAATAAATAAACCACAATCAACCATAATCAAGCATAATGAACCATAGTCAACCATAATCATCAACCTACCAAATGGATCCAAATGGTTGAACCACCATCCTTTTTAAGACTTTTTGGTGCTTCCCAGACTCCTTTTGAGTGGCAGGGCAGCTGCCGGCCATCAGCCCGAGAAGCTCCAGCTCGAGCCCACGCAAAGAGGTCAAGGTGAGAAGCGCACACTGTGAGGATGATGGTTTTCCTGGAATTGTTGGATATTATAGGGATAATAATGGGATAATAGGCTGCATTTTGTCTCTGATCATGGATGGAAGGTGTTTTTGGTTCTAGGAATCGAAATGTGTTTGGGACCTCGGTGGATGCTCTCCTGGTCGATCTGACTGAGCTTAGCCGCTTAGCCATGGCTTGGAGATTTTGGCCGCTTCTGAATGGCCATTTCTTGGTGATCCGTGGTGCACGGGCCACATGGCCCCGTTCTGCTCCAGGGAGAGATTCAACTTCCAGCCTTGCGAGACTTCAGCATGGCCTCCACGCCGCGTGGAACGAAAGAGATGTCTTGGTTGGGAACTGGCTGGTTTTTAACCCGATGGAACTCATGTTTTGTTGGCCCTCACCCATGACACATGACATATACATACATACATCTATGTACTACAAATAAAATGTTCCATGTGTTGGGATTTTTATCGAATCATTCCCAACAATCAATGAGGAATTTGCCAACAAACTGTGGGGATTTCGTATGCTCCAGCCATAAAATGGAAATATAGCCGTTATTGTAATGGTAGATGGTTGTCATCATATAAAGGCTGATTACCTCAAGGTTGATTACCTCAAGTTTGATGACCTTAACTAAAGGTTGTATCCATTACATATTATATACATTATATTATACATTCAACGGTTACCTCAAGGTGGAATCAACCTTAAGTTACAACGACATGTCCATTGCCACAGCTTCACAGCTTAGGACCAAACGTATGCGAGCTTTGGCAGAAAAGCAGGCAGGGGAGGTCAATGACAACACTCTCAACCGTCCTGAAGTAGAACAGAACATTGTACACATTCACATATATAATCACACACACACATTTATATATATAATATTATATAATATACTATATATATATACATGGATATATAATGATATATATATATATGCATACTTATGGAAATAGTTACATCCAATTATTTTTCGGAGCATGCTACCCCGTGGGAGATCTTTACCCCTTAGAGATGGTCCAGATGAACATATGAAAACACAGCTGCTCCAGGCTGATGAAATTTGCAGCGGGCAGGAGATACGTCGTCAGGTAGTCACTAGTAGAGGTCCAGATCAATTGACATTTGAAATAGGTATGTGATGAAGAAACTGGAGATCCCTCCACCATTTCATGGTCTGAGTTTGTTGAGCATTCTGGAACTACTGGTCCAAAGCCCAACCGCGGAGGTTCAAACATGAGTCATCATAGGGATAGGGTTACATCTCAAGCCACTGCAACATGCAGACCTCATGCAGATCTCATAGAATCCCCGATAAATGGTTGATGGAATGCCAACATAGGCCAACATAGGCCCCTTGGCACCTCCATTCTCACTGGTAACATTTTGTGTTGTCCATCCAATCTTGGGATGATGATGGCGGTGGTCGTGATGGGCACCCCCTCACCTCCCATGAGAAAATCGCTGGATGGACTTACCATGAATGAAACATGGCAGTGGACAATCACCCGTTTTTAGATTTAGACTCTACATGACATGCATGTATTTATCGTGATATGTATACATATAATAAAATAACACAACATAACATAACATATAGTATAATATAATATAGTATACTATAATATAATATAATATACTGTAATATAATATACTATACTATAATATAATACAATATAATATAATATAATATAATATAATAGCATTTATTTGTGTAATGCATATATGTATAGATAGACAATGTATTTGTATATATGTATATACACATACACACTCAGTGAATATGAACATGATTCATTTGCAGCCAGGTAGATTGCCAGCAGGTCCCAAACGGTTTCTGTGAGTCGTTTTTCGCAGGCAGAATTGAAGCGGCAGATCCAGGAGAGGGGTGACCAGTATTTCATTGGCCCCTCAACTTCTTCCAAGTAATGGTATATCATGGTGATGATATAACTTCTTCCATTTTTTGGCACCCAAGTTTTGGATCGAACGTTATTTGACATATCACGCTCAATTTTGCCAGGATCTTGCCGATTTTTTTCTGGTTTTTTGGTAGGCTTACTGTACTTCATAAGGTTGAACAATCACATACTCCATCAATGGGAATTCCAGGATCCAATTGATGAAGGTACGTTAGTACCATATTTCTGGCCATATTTTATGGGGATATTCCCTTACAATGGCCATTGACTCCAGATCAAACATCCCCAAAAATCGTTCACCTGCCCTCCCAGGAGGCGCGCTCCTGCGAGACGCCACCCCCAGAGCTGCGAATTCGACCGGACCCGCCCAGCTGGAGCAAAGGTGCGGCTGGGGGGAGAAACGTATGGCCGTATGGTAAAAAGCCCAGAAGATACCAGAAGAAACATCCGTTTTTTTTCTAAGTTCAACTCCGATTTCTAATCATTTTCTATCTTCGTAATTAATCTAAATTTTGAGGGGAAAAACATGCCCGTTTGCAGATGATTGTCCTGTGGAGCATGGGGATTTCGCCCCAGGTCTATGAACCAACCGAGAAGATACCTGATGAGTAATGAGTTGTTGGTTGGTAGCTCACAAAGACCAAACCACAAGGCTGCCACGCTAAGTGCAGCAAGAAGCAAGCGATGCGCCACCCTTTTCTCGCAGGGGCAGCAGGACATGTAGTCAGTTGACTCGGTGCTTAAGCATTCCTTAGCCCTAGGGGGAGATTGTGCCAATATGGCCAAAGGGAATGGAAAAATGGTAAATGCTCATGCCACCATGGAATGTGCCAGAATGTGTGGAGCACAATTCACACCGGTGGAAAATGATGTTGGTGAAAAAGAAAAGTGGCTTCTAACCATCGCTAAAACGCACCCTGCATGGGGCTTGGCCCTGCTGGGGCTGATTCATCTCACGAGGGTCGCACAGCTGCGGCAGGCAGTGAGTGCACCAAGTTCGATGGTAGATCGGCCCAGTAGTGCGATTTCGCAAGCACTGATAGTTGGCATGCCACGCCTGCCCATACGGAGTGAAGTAGACCTCCTGCTGGGCAGCTTCGATGATCGTCCGTTGGCGGCTATGGTTGAAGTCGCCTATGATGGTGTGCAGATCCTCGTTGGAAAGCTCATAGTTCCGAACCTGGTCTTGAGCTTCATCCAGTAGTGCCTCCAGGGTCAACTTCTGCTTGAGGAGATCGTGCGAATCATCCATCAAAGGATCGTCATCGGTCTGTGTGGCCATTTCACTGACCTCTGGGGTGTGCGCCTCTTCGAGGTTACTGTCCTTCCAGAGTGCAGTGACTGTTGCCAGCGCCCTTCGTGGCAAAGAGATCATCCACCGGCAGGTGGCAATCGCTCCTATCACCAGGAAGTAGCCCATGACAATGGCCAGGATCGTGGTGAAGAGCTCGCCTTCAGAGTCCAGGTAGTTCAGGTTGTAGGTGTTGGTAGTCTTGTTCTCAATCGCATAGGTCTCGTTCAGGTCAAAGTCCATTGCAGCGGCTGCTGAAGTGCAGAAGGCTGCAAACATAGTCGCTGTTGCCGTTCTTGGAGGTTTTCGAATTGCATACTTCTCTGTGCCTTTCTTTCTTTCTGCTGCTGACTTTTTCTTGCTTGCTACAAAGTCTTCATCGCTCTTCAAGCGGGTCAGGTGGCTCCTCAATCGATCTGCAAGAAGTTGGGCTGCACTGGCTTTTGTAAGTCCATCTGAGTATTGCAACTCCGAACTCACCCACATTGTTGTTGCATTGCAGCAGCGCAACTTGTCTTGGGTTACCAAGACTTCGATTGCAGTTCGTTTGTCGGTGGAGCTCCCAGCTTGAATCTCTTCTCGCACAAGCATGTCAAACAAAGCTTTTGCGTCCACCACAAGCTTCGGCTGGTTGGGGATCTGGGCAGTGCGGATGTCATCCAAAGGAAGCCAGGGGCTCCAAATCAATCGCCAGAAAGTCGTGGCGAAGAGAAGAGCATCAGCGGCTTCTGATGCCGCTTGGCTTTCAGCAGCCAAGGTGGATCTTGACACCCTTGCCAGTTTCCATGAGCGCCAGTCCACAATGTTGTAGTGTCCTTCTCCACCACTGGTGACGTCACGGTGCGTCATGATGAGAAGGTAACCTCCTTGGCTTGAAAGATCATCTCGCGATGCAAATGAGGCATCGGAGTAGCAGGCAAAGGTGATCTCATCCTTGGCCCCAAGATGCCTAAACTCCAAACCTGCATCTTGGTTCTGCTTGGCAAAGCGTAGGCACTTGTTGGCGGTGTCCAAGGTGGATGTTGTTGCCTTTGAAATCTGTCCAGCCAAGGTAGACACCATACATTGTAGGTGTGGACTGGTTTGAGTTGCGGGCCATTGAAGTCCACCAACCAATCCCCTCAAGGATGTGCGCTCACGGTCCGTGACCTCATCATTTGAGCCATGTCGTTCCTTGGGGTAGGTGATTGGCTTTTGTTTCGTCAGGTACTTCTCATGGTGGATCTTCCAATGGTTGTCACCAAGTTTGGTGATCTGGGCCCCGCAGTACTCCAGCTCGTTCTTGTCATTGCTGGTGATCCATTCACGAAAGGTGAAGATGGATTTGAGGCTGTTCAGCAGCTTCTCGGTCTCAGCATCATCCATGTAGCATCCAAAGATGTCATCAACGTGGATGCCAAAGAGCGCCAGAAGTCGAGGTGGTTCAGCGCCTTCTTCTGGTGGAGGATGTACTGGACGGTCATAGGCCAGGAAGAGGCAGGCATCAAGCGGATGCTGCACTATGGTTCCATTGCCCATGTTGAGGATCCTTGTTGCTGCTTCCTCGTACCAGGCTCTTGGAGCATCACACAGGCCATACATTGGCTTGACCAACTTCATCAACTTGCCATGGCCTGGAGGTAGGCCCAAGAGAGCTTCGCCATCTCGAGGAAGCTTCACCCAAATGGTCCTGTTGGACTCAGGGGAGAATTTTCTGCCTTGCAGGAAGGCTGTTGAGATGTCGCTGGTGAAGATAGTCATGCCCATCATGGTGGCCACCGTCAGGATGTAGTTCCTTGACAATCTGGTCAAAGTAGGGCTCGCTGTCGACAAAGTTCCACCCAAGGCATCAGGGTCTTTGAAGCCCTGCACCACCAGTCGGGCTTTTGCCCTCGGGGTTCCATCTTCATTCTTCTTCCAGTTCAAGATGAACCTTGCCTTGAGCACCCTTTCCACAGGCGCATTTGACGCATCGTCAAAGAGCCAAACTTCGTTGTTGAAAAAGCTTTCCAGCTCCTTCTTCTTGGCCTCCATGAAGGTCAGTCGGTCATCCAAGCTCAGGTTGCGCTCGGTCACCGGCGCATTGCTGGTGGTCTGGCTGTTGACATTGTCCTCGTTGTAGAACATGGTCTCCTTCCCGTCGCTCTTCTCCATGTAGAGCTTCTGAGCTGTCTTGCGCCAGGAAGGTGCCAGCTTGAAGCGCGTGTAGCCTGTCCAAAACTTGGAGTTCAGCTTCTTGTTGACCGTAGGTCTTGTCCATCTGTCTCGAACCAAACTGGTTCCCATCTTCGTGTAGCGGTCCTTGGTGAAGTAATTCAGCGGCAGTGGGCAGTTGTCCTCCGTCAGCTGAAAGTCAGAGTTCCTGGGCACGTAGTGCTTTCTGGTCAGGTAGTTGCCTTCCAACTTCCACTCATCTTTGATGTCATCCATGACGATCATGCCCTTGTCCAAGCACCATCCAGTTGGCAGGTTGTTCTCCTTCAAGAGGTCGACGTCGATGGTTGCGTTGAGCGCATCATCTCTGGACAGAGGCTTCTCAGAGTATGGAGTTGGTCGTGGTTCAGCAGGTCGTTGTGGACCATACGCAGGTGCTCCAGGTTGTTGAGGTCGGAAAAGTAGAGATTCTTGTCGTGCATGTCGTGCACGTTGTTGGGCAAAAGTTTCACCACCCGCAGGGGCTTCGTATACTTCTCGTTGTTGATCAGGAACTTCAACAGGTACTATTGCAGGTTCAGCCATTGGTTCTTGGCTCATTGGTGACATTGAAGGTTGGGGTTGAGGTAGATCTTCAGGTTGTTGTTGTTGTTCTTCAGGGAGAGGTTCAAGTCCATTGGTTCTTGTGTTGTTGGAGGTGTCCGTGGGACTTGTGGTTGTTGTTGGGGCTGAGGCTTCAGCACTCGGTGGTTCTTGTTCAGATTCTCCAGCATGAGGTGCTCCACCAGGATGTCCTTCTTCATCTGAATCTGGTCCATCTCCTTGATATGGTGTGCCAGGGCTGTACTCATTCTCGTTGTCAGACAGCTGGTCGGTCTTGATGAAGAAGGTCGTTGTGCCAGTCCAAACATAGTGAAGTTCCCTGTCAGAGTTGGGTGTTCGCCACTCATCTCTGATCCTGATGTGCTCAGGGTTTGGATGTCCTCTGCGAACATCTGTTGCTCGTTCTGGTTGAAAGAGGTGGATCAGGACATCAGCTGTTGGCTCGGGCACATAGAGCTTGCGTCTTGGAATGTTGTGGATTCGAGTCCAAAGTCTTCCATCTTCTGACACATTCCACCTATCTGGTGGTAGCTCTTGTCGTGGATATTGTTGCATGTCCTCATCGTGCTCGTCCTCCTCCTCATCAGTGGCAACTTCATCGCGTCTGCGCTTGTTGCTCTTGGGGAGGTCAATGTACTGCGTCACACCACGGCCTCTGATGTTTGACAGAGACTGCTTGGCTGTGTCCAAGGGATCTCGAGGTCGTTCTGTAAGATCTTGGACTGGTGTTGCAGCTTTGACATGTTCAGGAGCTGCACGTAGGAGAACTGTTCCATGAGCGATCCAGTAGATGTCGGTGTGGTGTCCATGTTGACCTTGCTCCCTCATAATGACGGTGGCTGGTCCACGCCATTTCAACTTTGCCATAGATCCTGTTGGAGTGTCTCTCCAGTAGTAGCACAAGTCGCCTGGTTGAAGGACAACAGGTTGACCCATGTACTTTCGCAACAGGGCACGTCTCAAGCGGAAGTCAGTGTCGGCCTCAATCATGGCCTTGTTGGCCTCTTGTCGCAAGCGCAGCTTCTCCATGAACTTCTCGGAGGGGTCAAGGTGTGCTGGATTGCTGAGGGAAGATTCCTCAGATAGCAGGCCGGGCACATGTGGCGTGTAGCCCAGCACCCATTGTATGGGGCTGTATCCATGCACGTTTGGGATTCTGTTCAGCTGCGGCACAATGTAGGTCAAGGCAATGATGAGGGCGTCCTTGTCAGCAGCGACACCAGGGTTGGATTCCAGAAAGAGGGAAATTGCCCTTCTTGTAACCTGATGTCTTCGCTCCAGAATGGCCAATCTTGTATGAGATTGCCCCGGAGAAATCACCAATTGGATCCCATGTTCAGTTGCCCATTCTCGCATGGCGTCTGATGCCCAAGCCCTGTGTTCATCAACCTGCAGGGTCTTCATGGGTCCAAAGAAGCTGATCCAAGCAGCTTCAATCTGCTTGATGTACTCACAGGTCTCGGCCTTGATGAAGCGAGCTGCAAGAAGTCGCGTGTGAGCATCTGACATCATCAGCACAGGAAGTTTGTGCTTCACCCCAGGAACTTTCACCCACAGAGTGTCAGCTTGAACTCTTTGGTTGAAGGTGGTGTCCTTGGGCATGCTCGACACTGGTACTCCACTGGGACGTTTGTGAAGGTCACATAGTCCACATTCATGGTCTTGAGCAGCTTGTAGTAGAGCAGGTCCAGCATTCTCGGTCTTCAGCAACCTGATGAGCTCCCTGTTGGATGGATGGCCCAAGTTGCGATGCAGCTTGGTGATCGTCCTCTTGGCAGCTTGGCGATCACATTCATCCAAACGTTGAAGGACTCCACGGCGTTGTCGAACTTCAGCATGTTGATCTTGTTCAGGAGATGGTGTGTCAGGCCAAACCTCAGACAAGTTCTCGAAGTCCAGCTCCGGAGGAAGTGAGGTCTCATCGGCCATGTCATCACCTGCATGGATACGCTCGTGGGTCATCAGGGTCTGCTCATGCTCCTGGTTGATGAAGAGGTTGATGATTGCCTGAACGATGCAGCTGCAGAAAACTCCTTGATAAACTGCAGAAGCAGCAGCACGGTTGCCAACTCCAGGTGAACTGCCCTCAATCGGCAAATGGTAGTGGTCACCTGGGCACAAAAGTGAGAGCTCGTTGGCCATGCCTTCGTCAGTGCATTGCAGTCGTGTTGGTTTCTTGATGTATTGGTCCATCCCATTCTCATCAGCCATCATCACTTCAAACTGACACTGGTCCAGATGGCATTGGTATCCTGGAAGATCATGCAGTGTGGTCGTCTTCCAGCTGAGTGCATACCTTGGCTGCTCCAAGGCGGCATGCCTTCCTTCACGCCTCTGCTTCAAGTAGCTTCGGCGACACATCTTGAGGTGGACCTTCTCGTGGTAGTCGCGCTCAGCTTGAAGTGCCATTTTTCGATCTTCGGTCAAGGCATTGAGTTGTTGAAGAGGGGACCAATCAGTGCATTTGGGGCTGTACCAAATAAAGTCAGGGCAAACTTGATCTTGTAGTTGAAATTCTTTCCGGTGGGCTGCAACATCAAAATCCCAGCCCGTGTTGTAGTCAAAGGTCATGACATCCCAACCGCAATCCCGCATCACCGAGGACAAGTTGCCAGAACCACTGTAAACTTCCCAAAAGGTGCGGCGTCCAGTCTGGTGGGCATGCAACACCTGTTCAATGGTGTCTTTGCGACGCCGATTGAAGCTGTTGAACTCCATGTGCATCGTTTTGATCAACTTGTCGGTGATTGGTCGCCTCACAGCAGCGGGATCATCATCTTGGAAATCTTCAAGGCTTTCAGTGGGTGTTTCTTCCAAGGTTGTGTCTTCCTCCAAGAAAGCTTTCTCAGGAGGGCTGCGGTTGGTCATGGAGAGGTACTCATGGATGTTGATATAGTCAGCCAGGTCGTCATAGTTGTTGATCGCTGTGCAGGTCTCGCTGGTGACATAGTCGAAGGCAATGTGATGTCCTTCAGGGTCATCTTCCAATCCATGGTCCAATTGCAGAAGGTACTCTCCTTTCTCACCCATTGTGGTGTCTTTCCATTCACCGTCTTGGACAGAGATCTTGTTCTGGTGGTAGTCAATCTTGATGTTCAGCGCCTGCAAGATCGGTCGGCCGATCAAGAGAGGCGTACTGCCCTCGACGATGAAGGTCTCGATGTAGCCTGGTTGGCCTTCGATGTAGACTGGAAGTCTGACAGACCAGTCTGATTTTCGGTTGGCATCACCCCCAAAGCCAAACAGCTTGTTGGTCGCCATGAACATGAAGCGCTCGATGGGCACGCCTCGCATCACCAGGTGGTCCACGATGTTCATCATGGTGTCATGGCCACAAACCACAGACGATGCACCACCATCTTGGATTCCAAAGAAACCATTGTTGCCAAGCAATGGCAATCCCTTGGGGACTTGCTTGGCCAGGTCGCGCACCATCATAGTTGATTCCGTCTTGGCCTTCTTCGAAGGTGAGGAGGTAGTCGATGACGTAGGGCTCGCCTTTGATGTAGGTGAAGTGCAGTTTGCCGCCCAATGTCCCACCTGTCCACAACGTAGACATCGCGTGGCATTGGCCCTTGAGGCAGCAGAACCACGTTGTGGTGGATTGGATTGTCGCAGGGATGGCTTCCCCTTGATCTTGCCCTTGCCTTTGCCCTTGCTTTTGCCCTTCGAAGGGCTTCGTGGTGCCTGTGAACTTGCTGGCATAGATTGTCCCCCATCCGTCAAGGCAACGACAGGGAAGTAGCCTCGAGCAGCTTTCATCTGGGCGAAGTGTCGCCTGGCATCAAGGTATGAGGCGTATGCCTCCCCAAGTTCACCTCCATCATCCAAGGGCTCGTCCGGGAAGTCCGCGTCCTCGTAGTCGGCAGCGTTGTAGGTGTCCTCATTGTAGGACTCATCCCAATCATCACCATAGTCTTCACCATAGAGTTCATCGTCATCCCATTGTTGGTAGGCATAGTCCTCGGGGTAGATCTCCTCGGCGTCATAGGTCTCCTCAGTCAAATAGCCATGCTGTCTGTTGGACCATCTCCCATAGGTTCGTCCCTTGTTCCACTTGGTGGTTGCATCATGAGACTTGCCTTTGTAGTCTTGGCCCAACAAAAAGTACATCGCCTCCACAACCTTGTCGTAGGACAGCTTGGGGCATTGACTTTGGATCAGCTGCTTTTGTTCTCCTGAGAGACCTGAGCGCCTTAGAAGAATCCAGCCGCTCACCTTGTCAGACACTTGAACTCCATGTTTCTCAACTTCATGTAGTGCTTCTCGATGGTCCGCCACATAGGACATCAAGGTCTGTTCAGGTCGCCTCGTTGTCCCGTAGAAGAACTTCTCAAAGGCACGCGGCATCTCCACATCCTCGTTGTAGCGAAACGTCGAGTCCAGCTCATTGAGAATGAGGTCAAAAGCGCCCTCTTCCTTCGACAGAATCGTCTCCACCTTCGGCTCCAACTGTCGCCAGGCCACGCCATGCAAGCTGGTCAGGACGTTGAGCACGGCTTCTTTCCCTTTTCCTTGTAGTTCCAGCTTTCGGCGGTAAAGGCCAATGCGTTGGCGCCATTCACGGTAATCACCAGGTTTGTTGTTGAACACTGGGATGTAGGTGTCCTTCAGCAGCTCCATGCCCGTAGTGCTTGAAGTCGATGTAGCTCCATCTCCCGATGACGGCATCCTCAGAGACAAAGACCAAGGGAGGTAGTAGAGGGTGATGAGGTTGTAGTAGCGCAGTGGATGGGCGTAGTTGATCTGGTAGGTGAAGGTGTCCAGGTTGTAGGGAGGTAGAAGGGCTCTGGAGCGCAATGCTCCGCTACCAATGTTGGTTGGTAGCTCACAAAGACCAAACCACAAGGCTGCCACGCTAAGTGCAGCAAGAAGCAAGCGATGCGCCACCCTTTTCTCGCAGGGGCAGCAGGACATGTAGTCAGTTGACTCGGTGCTTAAGCATCCCTTAGCCCTAGGGGGAGATTGTGCCAATATGGCCAAAGGGAATGGAAAAATGGTAAATGCTCATGCCACCATGGAATGTGCCAGAATGTGTGGAGCACAATTCACATGAGTATTTTTGCAATATGGGCACAAGTAAAAAATGGAATGGTTAATTTGACAAAGGGTGTAAAGATGTGTAAAGGAAATTGCTAAAATGTTCAACTTGCACCGCCAAGTGAGTCCGGGGTTGGCTTTTTGTAGCTTTTTAGTTCGCCCTCAAAGAGCCCGGGCATCCCATCGCCCTTTTTGCCTGACCAACACTGCATATCCCCTCTGCGCATGAGTTTTTTTTTCCGCCTCGGTGTTCTTTTCCCTTGTGCCCTGGGGAGAGGTTGCAACCAGGATGTCATATTGCACAGCGATGTTCAACCGTGCAATAGTCCGTTGAAAATAGATCAGTAGTGGATTGGACTAAAATCGGGATCAGATGCTGCCAATGTCCTTTTTTGGCTTTGAGGCAGTGGCAAGGGCGGTGCGATCTATGCCCCTCGTGAAGCTTCAGGCGCAGGGTAGACTGCCGGAGGATTCAACTTTTTGTATCTTTTTGTCGTTTCTTAATATGGATGTGTCTGAAAATGGTATATATATATACATATATATATATACGGTATACCTCTCAAATAGCCCTTTTAATAGGGATACATCATGTTTTTTTGATGATGATTTACCAATGGATTTAGAGGTACCCTATTCTCAGACAATCGCCCTGACACTGGTTGATAGGTATCATTAGGTATCCCTATTTTGTGCTAGAAGAATCCCAATACCGGAAAAAAACAACATGTGGTATAAAGCCATGTGATATTGTTGGTGTAGATTCCATTCCATTCAGATCCGTTCGAGTCATATCCATTCATATTCAACATTGATTACATCCTCAAAAATAAAGCTCCAGAAAATTTGATTATACCCTCGATATCGATATTTCCATATCCAGACTTTGAGAGATTTCTATGGTGAGGATATGGCTTTGTCTAAACATAAGATACCCCTAATGTTGCTGAACATTTTGTTGCAATTTTGCCCCTTTAGAATGCTGAATTGGGATTTCAGACACGTATTTTTTGGAGCATATTAATTGTTGGCTAGTGACCTCAAAGCCATATTATGATCCCATAATATCACTGTAAAATGCTTGGCCATTACATGCCATTGCAAAATATCCCCATTTCCATAATGCCCCCAGTTAACCACCATATATACCTAGAATCTAGAATACATAGATAATACATAGATAATATTATATAAATGATATATATATATAGATGGAATCTTAAACTGGTCAGGTAGCCATTTTCAGACACATCCCTATATACAATGGGTATATCATCCTGGCAGTTCAAGGTGGCGATTGTGGGGTCAGTGATCATTTCAAGGCTTAAGTGACCTTAAGAGGTCACTTTGAAGGGTTTGATCTTCAAAACCACGGTTGGATAGGGGGTATGATTCAATGACACATGGATATGAGTTCAATGATATGTATATATATATTATATATATTATATATATTATATATATTATATATATATTATATATATTATATATATTATATATATTATATATATTATATATATTGTATATATTATATATATTATATATATTATATATTATATATATTATATATATTATATATTATATATATTATATATATTATATATATTATATATATTATATATATTATATATATTATATATATTATATATATTATATATATATATATTATATATATCATATCGGATATGATATATAATGGTAATATGTACACTGCAGATGAATGTGGAATATGACCATTACATTAATATGGAGACGATATACAATGGTAATATGGTAATATGTACATTACACATCATTACACTATAGATGAATATGGATACACATAATGATACGTATAATATGAATATTACATGATATTGCCATACAATTGTAATGTACAGTACATTATAGTGTAATGGAATAATATTATCACTACATGTCACCATATCATAATAATAGTGTAATAATATATAATGTACCTTACACATCCTTACACTACAACTATACTATAATATTGTACGTGAATAAACCCAGTATCAAATGACTATTGGTGACTATACCCCCTAATGGAATCATATTAACACTATATATATATATATGGTTACAGAATAATATGTTTTTTGGTTATGGAATAATCTGTTGACCATATATATATACTATATATTATATTATACTATATATACATTATATATACATTATATATATATGGAATATGATTTTTTTTTGATCTTCATCGCCAGGCTCTCGGCCCCAAGGCCCCTGGTGGCTGCCGGACCACACGCAGCGAGCCAAGGCGGCGGAGGCCGCCAGGGCAGAGAGCCTCGGCTCCAAGGCCTTAAAAAAAATGGAAAAAATGGGGAGTTTCTGTGATTTTAACCAGGAGAAACTCGGATTTTCTAGGATTTTTTCCGCGAAAACTCGGATTTTCTATGATCTTACCATCACAAAACTGGGATTTTCTATGATCTTACCAGCGAAAACCGGGTTTTCTTTGATTCTTGCCATAGTTTTGTAGGAAACAGTCAGGATTAGCACCGAAACAGTTAGGATATGCGCCAGGTGTTTTCAACAGTTGGGATTTCATCAGGCCAAGATCAGTTTTCAGCGCAATCCGAGCGGTCCGAAAATATTGATCATTATCAATTTTCATACACACATGTATATTCATACATATACACAATATACACAATATACACCATATACACAATATACACAATATACACAATATACACAATATACACCATATACACCATATACCATATACACCATATACACCATATACACCATATACACCATATACACCATATACACCATATACACCATATACACCATATACACCATATACACCATATACACAAACACACATATGTACACATATATACACATGCATACATATAATGTATATATATGTATATGTGAAACCATTCATCACGAGACAAATGACAGGATTCTTGTACATCAGACTTCCCTTCATGCCCTGGCAGCCACCAAGGCCAGAGAAGCGTGGCATTCCCGGCTTTCGTGCGCGGCATCAGAAGATGAAAGCTGAATGGTCTGAGAAGTGGAATTCTGCCAAGGAGGAGGAGTGGGGTGAAGAAGATTGGGGTGAAGAAGGTTGGGATGAAGATGGTTGGGACGAGGGCGGAGACTGGGAAGAAGCTTGGTGATGTCAGTGACTGCCACCCGAGCTGGTATTTATTTTTTTTTAGTTTCACACCCACAGAGCCTGGGTCAATGCTCTGAATGTACATAGTGAAGCTGTGGATGTGGTCTGTTTCACGCCAAGTGTCCACAGCCAGCATCCAGCTTGTTGAAAAAAACGTGGAACAGTTGGCTGCTTGAAATCCACGGACGCAGCAAGTGAGCCATGCCCTGTTCCCTTTTCGGTTATCATGTTAACCCAGGATTTTGCTAACTCCCACAGTATATGTGCATAAATGTACACACGTATGTGTACATGTTTTTTTTCTCCACATAATTGTTTATTTTTTTGTTTGTTCGTTTGTTTGTTGGTTTGTTCGTTTGTTTGTTCGTTTGTTTGGTTTATTTTGTTTGTTTGTTTTGTCTTGTTTTGCTTTGTTTGGTTTGGTTTTGTTTGTTTGTTTGTTTGTTTGCTTGTTTGTTTGTGTAAAGATACATACACTGCACCCACTGCGCACTCCATGATCGTACTGATCTGACTGTAATTGCCGACATGACTGTTGGCGGGTAATTACCAATTATACTTATGATGTAATAACTTATCACTATTCTTGGGGTAATCCCCCCAATGAATAGTCAGGATTTACGAATCCGGGGTTGACATTGACAATGATTTGAATTAGGCTACATTGATGGAATAGGTAGCTAATAAACCCTGAGGTCTGCGAAGAAAACCTATATATGGGAATCCCAGCCTCAGCAGACTCCGAGGTTGACCTGAAGCTCTTTGAGAAGAAGAGATTGGCAGCTGACTGAGCTATGATGCCGACACTCCAGTAATCATAGCTAGCTGGGAGATCACCTTTTTAGATGTGTTGTTTTTTTTTTGGTGGGGAAGATCATCCACAAGTCACAAATGGGGGATTTTGCATTGCCATGATTGAAAACAACGGAGAATTCATGGGAATGGCCCAACACTCTTCAATTCCACCCCAGAAATGAATTCAAATTCAGCAGAGTCCTTGAGGTAATTAGTCTGACCATGAAATGACCAAACCAGCTTGCGAGAAGTTTTGTTGTGCTTAACTTCTGATATACTTCTGATCTACACCAGAGATTGTTAGACGGATTCTTTTTTATGTGGATGTTGCAGGTTGTGTTTGTGCCCTCAATCCGAATGGCACAACCAAGGACGAACAGTGGTATCGCAACATCAAGGACCTCTGGACTGTGTGTGGCCTCAGCCCGCAGGAAGTTGATGTCCCGTTTCTTTTTTCCGCTTCTATATGAGTGGAACATATGTATCAATTGGAACATAGAAAAAGATGATAAAGATATGGGGATGCACCCTAAGATCGGAATTTCTGAGAGTTGGGGGGTTCTACTTTTTTGGCCCTTTTAGGGCAAGATGATAAGGTACACGTACACCCCATATCATCCCATGTTTGTTTTCTCAGGAGTAGCCTAAATCCACCAAGTAGTTTCCTTCTGGTGACCCTATCATCGCATTTTGATACTGGTTTGGAAAGGGGATTCAACCGATTCAAACCCCGCAAAGTATCCGTGAAATCGGCAAAGACCCAGGGACCGGGAACGCACATTGGACAGCTCGCAGACCAATGGCCCGGCTTCGAGAAAGGCGAGCTGTTTGGGGAACCAATGGCGAAATCATGGGATGTTAAGGGAATATGAATGGGATATCATATTGCAATGGGATATGACTCATATTACATATTTAATAATATATATATAAATACACGTAATATAGATAATTTCAATGTTATCCTCATAAGTTGGAAACACCGAGATATATTGAAATGAATGACAATCGGGTATATTTATGGAATGTTAATGGAATATTGACAGGAAAACGATAGCTCATGTGATCATCCCAATAGTAAACCTCCAATTCTTGATAGTTTATAACATCCATTTATGGGAATATGGGGGGATGGTTTATGTTTGGGTTTACCATATTATATTCTTGGAGGATTGGGTTTAACCACCATTCAGCTAAACTTTGGGATATTGCTGGAAGTAACGGCTATGTTTTGCTTCTATGGAAGTCCTTTTCTAGGGCCGTAGTTAAAGAGTTCTCACATCATGTATCGATAAACTAAGTCAGCATTTAAAGCCGTTATAAGCCTCTTGTATACACCAATAATATTACATAATCCATCCATATTATTTATAAATAGTTTAGCCGCATAACTCCAAGTACACCATCTCATGAACGAACCTTTAGAGTCGGCAAGGTCGATGGTAGGGGTTCCGGGTGCCACTTTTTCATGTTTTTCCACGCAATGTCAACCCTGCATGGTCCATGGTTGGTTAATTTGAGGGGCTCATCCTCGTTTTTTCGCTCACCAGGCACTGTGGTGGGCATCGATGTGGACATGAACGACGGTGGGGTTTTCTGCCACTGTGATGCTGGATGCAAAGATGTAGCAAGATGTGGACAATTTTATATGGCTATGGATCAATACCTATTAATAGCATTTTTAGGGGAATGAACATCCATAAATCCCAGCTATTTTGATGTTCACCAGGGGTACCAGGGTTTTGACACATCCCCATGTAGCAACGACAGTGGGGTACCAATTTTTTTCCGACGATGGATGAAATCTGTTGGGATCTCTGGAATTCCCGGAGCGGTTTCTGGGGTGATATGTCTCGATCATGTATCATTCAGGGATTTTGCAATCGAATCTTCAGGAGAACCCATGTTCATCCATGTTCATCCATTTGCATCCATTTGCATCTTTGGTTGCATGCTCTCTATCTATCTATCTATCCATGCATCCATCCATCCATCCATTCATCCATCCATCCATCCATCCACCCATCCACCCATCCATTCATCCATCCATCCATCCATCCATCTTATCAATCTAAGCAATGTAATCTATCTAATCTATCTAACATACCTCTCTAATCTACCTAATCTAGCTAACATATCTATCTTGTCTATTTGATTTATCTAGTTTATCTATCTATACAATCTATCCAATCTATCTTATCTATATGATATATCTTGTTCATCTATCTAATCTATCTAATATATCTAACATACCAATCTTATCTATTTGTTCTATCTAATCTATCCAATCTATTCAATCTATCTAATCTATCTAATCTTTCTTATGAATATTACCTATCTAATATATCTAATCTTTCTTATCTAGCTTATCCATCTTATCTATCTTATCTAATCTTATCTATCTTATCTATCTGTTGTATCTAATATATCTATATAATCTGGATAATCTATCTAATATATCTCATCTATCTTGTCTATCTTTTCTTTCTTATCTATTTCATCTATCTTATCTATATTTTCTATCTCATCTATCTTTTCTATTTTATATATACATATATATATATATCTTATCTACCATATCTACCCTACCTATCTTACCTCTGTTGTCCATGTTGTCTTTCTTATCTATTATATATATATATATATCTATCTTATCTATCTTGCCCTATTTGTCTATCTTTTCTATGTGTCTATCTTTCTTTCTGTCTATCTATCCATCTATCTAAGTTTATTTCCCCATTCAGTTTAATGATTCCAAATCCAACATCCCCATACTTCTGAGATAGTATTACCCTCTGGTAATTTAACATAGCTATGGAAAATCACCAGTTTTAATGGGAAAATCCACTATAAATGGCAATTTTCAATAGCTATGTTAGTTTACCAGAGGGTAGGTGTTCCCATTTTCAGCCAGACTTGGCAGGTCTTGTAGACTTCAACGCCCAACACCTTCCGACTCGATGCAGGTTCTTTGGCCTTTTGGGGCAATGGCAAATTCCTTGGTGTCGTCAAAGACAACGAGGTCACTGGTCGACAGGGATTGGCCAAAAAAAAATGGGGTGCCCAAAGTTGGGGGTGATATCACCGGACAAGTATTACCCTCTGGTAAACTAACATAGCGAACTGGAGAATTCCCCATGTTTCATAGGTAAATCAACTATAAATGGGTCATTTTCAATAGCAAACTGTGAAATCACTAGAGGCTAATGACCTTAACAGGTGTGGTTCACTGGGCATCACTCACCATTTGGCTTCGCGCAGGGGAAGCCGGTGAACTTGAAGGGCAAGAAAGTGGCCAGGAGCCAAGTGGTGCCAAGTGGTGCCACCCCCCCTACGTGTTGAATCAGTTTGAAACATCTTGAAACCACAGTAGCAACAAGGGTGGAAACCATCGAGTGATATGAATTATACTAATTATACCTCGTGACATCAATTGTACAAAAATCATCAAAAATCCCTGGCCTTTTGGGATTTTTCTTCATCCTGGTTCCTATCCATTCAGCCAATCCATTGATTCAGAAGACATCACTCAGGTGCCGGCCATGAGTGTCTTCGGAAGGCGCCGTGAATTTTGATGACATTTCTTTGATATCCAATGGCAAGTGATGGACAATCTAAAACAAATTAAGCGACTATATAGTGGATACTAATTTTATAGTAAAGGATATTCAATAGATACCTAATGGCAATTGATTGACTCACGGATACCAGTGGCAATTTTCCGGCAGGATAACGATATTTTCACACAGCTTGAGCGGATGTGCCAGGGATTCTGGCAACTTCAAGCAGAACACCGTGATGGAGGCACCGAGTCAACTTCCACTTTTGAAGGAAGTCTCGCATAATTGCTTCCTTTCACATAGACGCATAGACAGATAGATAGACAGATAGACAGACAGACAGACAGGCAGACAGACAGACAGATAGATAGACAGATAGACAGACAGAGATAGATAGATAGATAGATAGATAAAAATTAAATAAATAGATAGATATATACAGTAGATAGAGTAGATAGAGTAGATACAGTAGATACTATAGATAGATATAGTAGATACAGAGATACAGTAGATAGGATAGATAGATGCAGTAGATACAGTAGATACAGTAGATACAGTAGATACAGTAGATGCAGTAGATACAGTAGATACAGTAGATACAGTAGATACAGTAGATACAGTAGGTACAGTAGGTACAGTAGGTACAGTAGGTACAGTAGATTAGATAGATTAGATTAGATTAGATTTGATTTGATAGATAGACAGATAGATAGACAGACTAGATAGACAGATTAGATAGACAGACTAGATAGACAGATTAGATAGACAAATTAGATAGAGAGATTGGATAGAGAGATTAGATAGAGAGACTAGATAGAGAGATTAGATAGAGACATTAGATAGAGATATTGGATAGGGAGATTCGATAGAGAGATTCGATAGAGAGATTCGATAGAGAGATTCGATAGAGAGATTAGATAGATTAGATAGATTAAATAGATTAGATTAGATTAGATTGGATTATATTAGATTAGATTAGATTAGATAGATAGATAGAATAGATAAGATAAGATAAGATAGATATATAGATAGATAGATAGAAAGAAATATAGATAGATGGATAGATAGATAGATAGATGGATAGATAGATAGTCAGATAGTCAGATAATCAAATAAATAGATATCTAACATGTAAATAGATAGACAGAAAAAAAAGATAGCTGAGATGAGATGAGA